ATAAAAATTTGAGAAATTTACTCTGAACAGCTTCGATATTTTTAACATGCACATCATATAAGGGATACCAAATTATAGCACCATATTCCAATCTAGATCTAATAGGCGCCAAATATAAATTACATAAAGTTCTTATATTTGAGAACTCGCTACAATTTCTGTAAACAAAACCATACATCCTAAAAGATTTTGCTATTACATCATCTATATGTTTCACAAAATTGAATTTAGAATCAAACGTAATGCCTAAATCTTTAAAATTGTCACAACGATGTAACTCAGTATTGGCTATGGTGTAAAGAAATATACTAGGATTAAGTTTTCTTGTATAGGACACAACGAAACATTTGTCTTGGTTAAGAGATAAACGATTACGAATACACCATTGCAAAATAATCTGAATATTAGCTTGAAGAGTCACGCTATCGTTAATATTTTTAATCTCCATAAACAACTTGAGGTCATCCGCATATAAAAGTTTCTCGCATGATAGACCATCAACAATATCATTAACAAACAGAAGAAACAATAATGGACCTAAGTTCGACCCTTGCGGCACACCAGAGGTAGGAGAAAATGGTTGTGAATAAAAGTTACGATATTTAACGACTTGGACTCTGTTCGTTAGATATGAACGAAAAAAGTTGATCAGAGGAGTGGAAAATCCAAACTGTTGTAATTTAGCAATCAAGATATAATAATCAATTTGGTCAAATGCTTTACGAAAATCCGTGTAAATGGTGTCAACTTGACCCCTATTATCAAGACAAGCAGAAACATATTGAGAGAAACACGCCAGGTTTGTAATCGTAGATCTACCCTAAAAAAACATGTTGATATTCAGTTATATGAGATTTGACAGCAGAATAAATGTATTTATACAGAACAGTCTCAAATGTTTTTGCAAAATTACATAATAAATTAATGGGTCTATACTTATCAATATCAGAGACATCACCTGCTTTGAATACCGGGCAGATACAAGTCTTTTTCCAACAATCAGGCATTTTACATTGCTTTAATATGAAATTAAAGATCTTTAGCAAGGGATGGGCACAGATACATGCACAGTCACTCAGGAGGAAACTAGGAATGCCATCCAACCCAGCAGTACAAGAATTCTTTGACTTTTTCAAGGTTAGAAAAACATCATTTTCAGTTAGAGAATCAATAGAGACAAATAGTTGACTCGACTTGTCAGGGGCAAAAGATCTTTAGCAAGGGATGGGCACAGATACATGCACAGTCACTCAGGAGGAAACTAGGAATGCCATCCAACCCAGCAGTACAAGAATTCTTTGACTTTTTCAAGGTTAGAAAAACATCATTTTCAGTTAGAGAATCAATAGAGACAAATAGTTGACTCGACTTGTCAGGGGCAAAAGAGGGACATAGATCATCATTGGAGGCAATGTATACACTATTAAAGTACTCACCAAACGCGTTTACAATTTCCTCTGGTGAAGTAAGTTGTGAGTCATTAAAATGCATCGCCCCAGGAATCCTAGTACCCCTTTTTTAGATTGAACAAATGCCCAAAACGATTTAGGGTCCGTTGAGATATTGTTCTCAATTCTGTGAATATATTCTTTGTACGACGCTTACACCGAGAACGATACAATTTAAATAAATTCCTGTAATATTCAGTGTTGCGTTTTCTATACAGCCTGTAACAAGCATCCTTTGCCTTAATAGTTGCAATTATTTCCTGATTGAACCAGGGAGGCCAGGAGTGACTATTACGTTTGGGCACCGATTTTGGAAGAAAAATTTCATGAAGTTTATCATAGAAAAGTGAGCATGCTTTATCAACATCAATGTTAGCCTCTAAAAAGTCCCAATTGGTTGACCCAAGCAAATCATATAGCAATCGAAAGTCAGCTTTTTTAAGTTGAATTGATTAGTCATATCATTTAATGGAAATTCACGTAATGGAGTCTCTAAAACCGTAAGTATGGATAAAGAAGAGTGATGATCGTCGGCATCAACAAGATCAAAATCTGCACTATCAACCTGGCATTTCAAGTTAGACAGAACTAAGTCCAAGATGCGTTGCCGCGTATTTTGTATTGTGTTGAACTGTGATAGAAATATTAAATTGTAAAAAGTTGTTAAGAGAAGCCGTGAATTGATTTGAAATGCCGAGTGAAAACTCAGGCACGTTAAAATCCCCTAATATAAGCAACTTACACAATTTAAAATCTTCAATATGATCCTAGTAGAAAGCGCAGTATAGTTTCCTCAAACCTATAAGGCGTTTATGGCTTTGACGTTTAAAGTACTTTACAGCCAACCCTTCATAAAGCTTAGTAAATGTAAACCATGCCACGTGCCAGGGACGGCCGAGACCCGAAGGACCGGACTAAGAGTAATTTTGTTTTTAACGTTTCTTCCGTACCTTAATTATTTAATCATTATTCTGCACATTTGAAAATATTATTAAGATACTGAAAGCAAAAAACATAAAATCTTTAACAAGTACGATCGCAATCATAGAAAACTGGTCCACTAAGTTTTTTGATAAATCAAATAATTTTGACGATGTTACCGTCCTTTGTTTCAAATCCAGAGGTTACATTCATATTGCTGTTATATTAAAAATAATACATGACTAGAGAGCGAAAAGTATGCAGCAAAATTTTGAGAAATATGATCATGTAATATGCATGAAATTTATGCAAATATGCTGTAACTTTATTAATATATGCAGAGATATGCAGTTGCATATCCTACAAAAATTGAAAATAAGTGTAATAACACAACTAAATTTATTTACAAATTATAAAAACAGGTTTATCAAGCTTAATTTTTTTAATGAAAAATACATAGATAAATAAAAATTTTAAAAATTATTGTCTTACACTAAATAGTGACAAATAAATAAAAATTAATAATAATAGGTCATTTAATTAGTATTTTTGGAGCAATTTATTTTTAAATACTTTTGGAAATATTGTAGCAAAAAATTTTGCCGATGATCCGAAAACATATATTTGTAAATAGAAATGCGGTTTGTAGCAGAAGCTACAAAACACAGTGCCTTCTTGAAGAATAAATTCAGGAAAAGACCAGTACAGGGCACGGTTGATAAAACCGTTAATTGTGAATTTAGAAGAGTCGAGTGATTATGACAGTGACTATTTCGATCAATAAATAAGCAGTAGTATAGTTAATAAGTAAATAGTTGTGTATGTCAAAATTCTAACTAATTTGCTGTAATAAAAAATGATTCAGTACAAAGTTATTTTGTTTTTACTTAAAATAAAAAACTCGAAAGGAGCAGTTGTCGGTAAATGCAAAACTCAGACCTGCCCTGTGCTTTTACCAGAAAAGGTCTTTTCAGGTAGGTATCGGTGAGCGGGTTTAAGACATCCGGTTGTGAGGGCCTATTGAATTGTAATGGGAGTCAAATTGGTATGAAGTCATAAACGCCTTATATGTTTGAGGGAACTCTACCAGGCATTTTTTCAAAGTATCTTCCCTCCTCTCATTCTGCCTCTATGGTGCGCACCTACTTTAGAAATATGTACCTACTGTTTCTTTATATGTGTCTGAAATTTTTCTGCTACTTGTACTTTAAGGCTCATTCTACAAGGTTGTTTTGGAGGTAGTTTTTAACGGTTTCTCCGAACGGATTGAAATTTTGCATCAACAATCTTCGTATTGAGAAATAAGTAAATGCCGAGTTTTAACTTGATTGTAATATTTTTAATCCCCAGTCTGCAGTCTGTTTTGGGGGTAGTTTTTAACGATCTTTGCGAACGGGTTAAAATTTTGTGTCAACAATCTTCGTATTGAAAAATAAGCAAATGTCGAATTTTGACTTGATTGGAGCATTTTTAACCCCCAGTCTGCAAGGTTGTTTTGGGGGTGATTTTTGAGGGTTTCTTCAAATAGGCTGAGATTTTGTAACGATAATCCCCGTATTGAGAAACTAGCGAATATCAAATTTTGACTTGATTGGAGTATTTTTAAGCCCCAGTCTGCAAGGTTGTTTTGGGGGTGGTTTGTCCGAACGGTTTGAAATTTTGTATCAACAATCTTCGTATTGAGAAATATGCAAATGTCGAGTTTTTACTTGATTTCAGCATTTTTAACCCCCAGTCTGCAAGATAAACCGTGGTCTGCAAATTGGACAGGCCCCCACCAACCATTTGATAACGTCACCTCAAAGTTTTACACAGTAAATGTTATTTACTTTTTATAAAATAACATTGCTAAATTTGTTTTTTGATGAATCTGTTTTGAGTTTTTACCCTTGGCATTCAAATTTTCCCAAAAAAAAACAGATTGTATGATAATATTTTATACCGTACAAGAGAAAGGCTGCCGTGATGATGAAACGGTTGGTAATAGTTATATCTAAATAAAACTTGACTTCATCAAGGATCTTATTGTTCCATTTATTTAGAAAAATTCTAAATTTTTTAATCCTCGAAAGATTCCTTTTTTCTCATTTTTTTGTGACAGTTTTGTACCAGTTTTACGTATCCACCGATTGCATATCTCAAGGTCGAAATGCAAAATTCAATATTTTAGTCAAGCAATAAGCTAATACGTCAAATTCGTAAATATTACAGAGAAATGCCATAACATTACATAAAGGAAAACTTAATTAAAAAATGAATGGTGTTATGGTCGGAAGTTCCATCCAACTGTTAAAATTTACATGAACTATAATTAAAATTCTGTAATTAAAAAACAATTTTTATTGCAGGAAATAAATAAATAATCTGAATTTTAGCAGTTTTTCCGCGTTAAACGCCAAGATAAGAATATATCAGTTCGATTAAATGAACCAAATTAAATTAAGGATATGTCCCCATATTAATAATTTCCTGCTACATTATCATATGGTAAATAAAGAGGGAATTAATTATGAACCAGTTTTTACAAAAGTCCGGCTCTGCTCGAACCTCGCATCGTTGACACTCAACGTGTCCTTTTATGATTTGCAAGTCACAATCAGTGGCATTTGCGCGTAGTGGCGCGTATTTTTTGGATTTCCACAACCGCATCTAACTTCATCCAAATACGTCAATACGTAAACGTCAAGTGCCAACTTCATCTCGACCTTTTTCAAAACATGGCAGACGTTGTCAACTTAATCGTGGCACAGGCTACAGAAAATGTAAAAGAAAATGCGACGAACGCAACAGGAAAACCGCCAAGCACCCCCGAAGGTATGGCAATGGCATATGGGAGCATCGTCATCATGGCTTTATTACCCATATTTTTCGGCGCCTACCGATCCGTCAACTACCATAAGGAAAATGTAAGACAGCTGTCATACCAAAAATTCATAAAATCACGATGATATCGTCACTAAACATGTTCCAAATTTCAGAAGGCCGAAAAAATGACCAAGAAAGACGCTGCCATATTCCCAATTATGGCATCGTGTGCACTCGTAGGACTGTATGTTGTGTTCAAGCTGTTCTCCAAGGAATACATCAACTTACTGTTGACTGGTTATTTCTTCTTTCTAGGTGTTTTGGCGCTCACACATTTACTAAGGTCAATATCATTTAAAAACTGTCGAACGCGGAGTGCTCATGGCCATTTTTTTTTCATGTTTACAGTCCCGTAGTGAGTAAGCTTGTACCTGCTGCAATTCCAAATATTCCCTTCCACATCACCTTCAAACAGGGAGAAGGCGAATCAGCTCAATACTTAATCAACTATAGATTCTCCTCGTATGATGTAGTTTCGTTAGCTGCATGTTCTCTAGTCGGTGCCTGGTACTTAGTCCAGAAACATTGGATTGCTAATAATTTATTTGGACTAGCATTTGCTGTAAATGCTGTTGAATTGCTTCACCTCAATAACGTAATAACCGGCTGCATTTTGCTGTGTGGCCTCTTTTTCTATGACATCTTTTGGGTATTTGGGACTGATGTGATGGTCACGGTGGCAAAAAGTTTTGAAGCACCAATCAAACGTAAGTTTTTGTTAACCGTCAGTGACTGGAACTAATTTGGAATTTTATAGTTGTGTTTCCACAAGATTTATTGCAAAATGGATTTGCGGCTAATAACTTTGCCATGTTAGGTTTAGGAGATATAGTGATTCCAGGCATTTTCATTGCCCTGTTGCTCAGATTTGACCATAGTCTCAAGCGGCAAACTAAAACCTACTTCCATGCTGCCTGTTTGGCGTACTTCCTTGGACTGATGGCTACCATTTTTGTCATGCATGTTTTCAAACATGCTCAACCTGCTTTACTGTATCTTGTTCCTGCTTGTGTTGGGACTCCTTTACTCCTAGCTCTTGTGAAAGGTGACCTCACGGCGCTGTTTAAGTAAGTTAACTGCTAGTCTAATTCAATTTTTTTAATATAAATGCTATAGATATGAAGACTCCCCAGAAGAAAAAGTCGAAGAAAAAAAGAAAGATGAAAAATCTAGTAAACCCGAAACCAAAAAAGTTAAATAAACGTTATCAGAGGGTGTCTGCCTGTTATAAATGTTTATTGTCAAATCCATTAAGTGAATGTATTTATTGTAATCCAATTTTTTATATTCCATCCCTTTATTGAATTTTGTTATGTTAATTTTTAGAAACTGAATGTTTTCTATTAAAAGTATTACGAAATTCGCATTTCGCGATTTGTTGAAAACCCGCAAATAAAAATCACAATTTTATTAAAAAATATATTATTAAACACAATTACTCGTTTTTCAAGCTATCAATGGTAATTGTAGGCATATCGTGAACACCATCCTTATCCACAACCTGCACTTTGAAGTTTGGCAGATTGACAATGAGTCTCTTGTGAACTTCTTTCACACATTTCTTTAACAAGTCATAGCCCTGCTCGCGGGTCATGGTCGGTAAATAATGACGATCCATGATGGACAGTGAGAAGTAACCACCATAACCATGAGCGGCATAGTCTACGCTAGCCACAGACGCCAAATAATCCATGTAATACAACTGTGGACCATCTTGATTGTCATACCCCGCCAACAGCAAATTAACATGATACGGTGTCTAAAAAAAAACAACTATAATAACGGAAAAATAAATAAAGCTTATTTGAAATACCCTAGTTCGCAAATTATCCGCCAAAATGCGGCGCGTGAAATGAGAAGCTTCCTTGGGGCTCAGTTCATAGTTGTTTCGCATCTTATACAACTGCACATTTTTTGCAATATACTCGGCGAACTGAATTGTATCGCCCTGTTCTCCGGATATAGCCATTGCCAATTTGTTGGACAGCTTGTACAGCTTATTTTCATCTACAATTTTTTGTAATTACACAAGCATAATGAATACGACTAAACTTACCTGTTTTCATAACGATTATGCTATGAGCGTTGGTCATGTCGGCCGCAACAATTGCAAAATCGTTGAATTTAATACCTATTAAACAATCCATGATTCTTCACCGGTGGATAACTTTATTTCAGAAGTGCTTTGTAATAACAATTTGAGGTTATGTTGATAAAACGTCAAATCATGCAGGACGACGCATGTGCCATAGATTAATGTAGATGCGACATACAGGCTGATTTTGCAAAACCACCCTTATTAATGAGATTGGAGTCCTCAACAGCCAAAGGCAAGCGCCAAATTTAAATAGTCGAACTTGTTTGATGTACAGACCAGAGCGTGCTCAGGCCAATGTCGACTCTAAGCGTTCAGAAGCGATTTGGTTGTTTGGTCGGTTTTTATAACGACTAAGTGAATATTTTTGATACATATTTAGATGATTTTACATATTTTGTTTAACTAAAAATTAATTTTTTATTTGTGTTTTATACTAGCAAAACGTCTTAAACTAAGAATATTGTTGAAATCGTAATAACCTAATGTATTTTTTTCGAGAAAATGTTTTGAAAACACTGTGTTCTATTTTGTATGTTTTTTTTTTAATGTTTTTAGTGACAACTTTTGTGGTTGTTTTCGATACACTGTATGATATTAACAGTGAGAAAAAAAATGAATAATTAAAATAATAGAAAATTCGAAAAATCGAAACTCCCAAATTTAAAAAATCGGATAACTGAAAAATCGAAACATCGAAAAACTGGAAAATGGAAAAACTGAGAAATCGAAAAATCAATAGATCAAGAAATCGTGGAGTCGAAAAGTCAAACAATTGAGAAACACCGAAATAGGTCAAAATCGAAAAATCGAGAAGTTAAAAAATTGAACAATTTATAAATTGAGAAATTGACAATCAAAATATCAAAAAATCCAAATCTCGATAAATCGAGAAATCAAGAAACTTAAAAATTCGAAAAATTGGAAAATTGAGAGACTGAACGATCAAAAGAACGAGAAATCGAAAAGTGATGAAGTCGAAAAATCGAAAAATAAAGAAATCGACAAACAAAAAGTTAAAAGTTGAAAAACTGGAAAAGCGGAAAAATCAAAAAACGAAAAAATGAAAAACTGGAAAACCTGAGAAACCGGAACAGGCCAAAATAAAAAATAGAAAAACTGATAAATCGAAAACCTGAACAATCAAATCTCGATAAATAGGGAATGAAAAATTAACAAATCGAAAAATTGGAAAACAGAACATATAAAACCAGGAAGGCGAAAAATCGAAAGATTAAGAAGTATTGGAAAATTAAAATATCAACAGATTAAAAAATCTAAAATTTAAAAATCCAAAAATTGAAAAATCGAAAAAGTAAAAAGGTAGACACATTGAAAAATCCAGATGTCAAAAATAGAAAAGCCGAAGAATTGAAATATTGAAAAATCCTAAAACTGAAATGTCTAAAAACTGTAAAATCGAAAAATCAAAAAAAGTGAATTCGAAAAATAGAAAAACCAAAAACCTGAAAAATCAAAAAATTAAAGAATTGAAGAACAGGAAAATCAAAACACTCGAAGGACAAGAAATGGGAAAATCAAAACATCGATTAATTGAAAAATCGAAAAATTGAGAGTTTGTAAAAATCAAATTTGAAAAATAAAAAAATCGAAAATTTGACAAAATCACAATTGAAAAACAGAAAATCTAAAACCAGAAAGTCGAAAAATCAATTGATTAAGAAATCGAAACATTTAAAAAATTGAAATATGAAAGAGCTGAAATGAAAAATCGAGAAATTGAGAAATCTAAAATTGAAAAATCGAAAAAGTTAAAAGGTAGACACATTGAAAAATCCAGATGTCAAAATAGAAAAGGCGAAGAATTGAAATATTGAAAAATCCTAAAACTGAAATGTCTAAAAACTGTAAAATCGAAAAATCAAAAAAGTGAATTCGAAAAATAGAAAAATCAAAAACCTGAAAAATCAAAAAATTAAAGAATTGAAGAACAGGAAAATCGAAACACTCAAAGGTTAAGAAATGGGAAAATTAAAACATCGATTAATTGAAAAATCGAAAAATTGACAAAATCACAATTGAAAAACAGAAAATCTAAAACCAGAAAGTCGAAAAATCAATTGATTAAGAAATCAAAACATTTGAAAAATTGAAATATGGAAGAGCTGAAATGAAAAATCGAGAAATTGAGAAATCTAAAATTTAAAAATCGAAAAAGTAAAAAGGTAGACACATCAAAAAATCCAGAAGTCAAAAATAGAAAAGTCGAAGAATTGAAATATTAAAAAATCCTAAAACTGAAATATCTAAAAACTGAAAAATCGAAAAATCAAAAAAGTGATTTCGAAAAATAGAAAAATCAAAAACCTGAAAAATCAAAAAGTCAAATTTGAAAAATTAAAAAATCGAAAATTTGACAAAACCACAATTGAAAAACGGAAAATCTAAAACAGGGAAGTCGAAAAATCAATTGATTAAGAAATCGAAACATTTGAAAAATTCGAAAACTTGAAAAATTAAAATATCGAAGAACTGAAATGAAAAATCGAAAAATCTAAAATTTTAAAAGTTAAAAAATCTAAAATTGAAAAATCGAAAAAGTAAAAAATCGACACATCCAAAAATTCAGGAGTCAAAAATCGAAAAGTCGAAGAATCAAAAATTGAAAAATCCCAAAACTGAAAAATGGAAAACCTGAAAAATCCGAAAACTGAAATATCCAAAAACTGAGAACCTCAAAAGTCGAAAAATTGAGCAATCGAAAAATCCAAAAAGTGAAATCGAAAAATCGAAACCTTAAAAAAATAAAAAATGAAAAATCAAAAACCTGAAAAATCGAAAAATTAAAGAATTGAAGAACAGGAATATGGAAATCCTCGAAAGTCAAGAAATGGGAAAATCAAAACATCGATTAATTGAAAAATGGAAAAATTGAAAAATCGAAAATTTGAAAAAACGACAATTGAAAAACAGAAAATCTAAAATCGGGAAGTCGAAAAATCGATCGATTAAGAAATCAAAACATTTGAAAAATTCGAAAACTTGAAAAACTGAAATATCGAAGAACTGAAATGAAAAATCAAGAAATCGAAAAATCTAAAATTTTAAATATTGAAAAATTAAAATATCAAAAAACTGAAAAATCAGAAATTTAAAAATCGAATAATTGAAAAAACGACGATTGAAAAACAGAAAATCTACAACCGGGAAGTCGAAATATCGAAGGATTAAGAAATCGAAACATTTGAAAAATTGAAATATGGAAGAGCTGAAATGAAATATCGAGAAATTGAAAAATCTAAAATTTTAAATATTGAAAAATTAAAATACCAAAAAATTGAGAAATCTAAAATTTAAAAATCGAAAAAGTAAAAAGTCGACACATCGAAAAATCCAGAAGTCAAAAATGAAAAAGTCGAACAGAAATATTGAAAAATCCCAATACTGAAATATCGAAAAACTGAAAAATGAAAGAAAAACTGACGAATGGAAAAACTGAAAAATCCCAAAACTGAAATGTCAAAAACTGAGAAATTAAAAAATTGAAAAAATTGAGAAATCGAAAAATCAAAAAAGTGAAGTCGAAATATCGAAACCTTAAAAAAATCGAGAAATTGAATAATCAAAAACCTGCAAAATCGTAAGATTGAAAAATTGAATAATAAGTAAATTGAAAAATCCCAAAACTGAAATGTCAAAAACTGAGAAATTAAAAAATTGAAAAAATTGAGAAATCGAGAAATCAAAAAAGTGAAGTTGAAAAATCGAAACCTGAAAAAATAGAAAAATTGAAAAACCAAAAAACCTGAAAAATCAATTAATTGAAAAATCGACAAATAGAGAGTTTATAAAAATCAAAAATTGAAAAATCGAAATATTTAAAATCCAAAAATTGAATAATAAATAGGAGTAAACTGAAACGTCCTCAAACTAAAATTTCGAAAAACTGAGAATTCGAAAGTTGAAACAGAAAGAAATTATGGTCGAAACCGGTTAGGATGTGTATCAGATCACGGATCATGGCAACGATAAGACTGAACAATTTTAAGAGTAGTAATTGGAAAGAAGCGGGGTGGGTGGGCGGGGCTATTGTTTGCCTATGAAAGACTCTAGGAAAAAGTTAAACCTAGCCCCACCCACCCACCCGTTCTCTATTTTTTTTTTCTTCTGAAATAAAATGTAAATCTTATCACAAATAATACAACACCAAAAAAATTATTTAGCGCTAATTTCAATTAGTGCCCACTCCCACTCTACAAAAGAACATATGCCTAAACCCCGCCCACCCACCCGCCTCCATTTCGGTGATTAATTTTATCTGCCCTGAATGAAAGGTGGATCTTATACAGAAATAGAATTATTCGCTAAAGCAAAAATTTGAAGAAAAAATGAAAGTTTTCACAAAATCTGTTACAAGATTACTCTGCGAAAAAGTGGTTTGTCCAATTACTATAAAGTTTTTTCTTAATTTTTGGGCTTCATCAGGATTCCTTGAATCTTTCTAGCCGAAACATTTGATTTTCAGGCCAAAATCGACATTCTTTCATTTTGAGAAAACTATAAATCGAACGGTGTCATTTTCCGATAGGAAAAAAATTGGAAAAAATTCAAAATATTTCATAGATCATTCTTTAGTTTGGCTGGATTCGTATTCCGGAGGTTTGATTTACTAGAAGAACCCACTTCCAAAAAAATATCTGCCCAAATAAACAAATTAGAATTATATGACTGAAGTCTGAAAAAATTCCGAGATCATGTATGAAGGAAAAAGTTGGTGAAAAAATTAAAATCACATTCATAGGTAATTTGGCACCGCTGTTCGATTCCTGATTTTTTTTGGTTGCACTAGTTGATTTTCAGACCAAAATCGGCATTATTACCAGTGTGAGAAAGCTCAAAATCCAACCGTTTATTTTCCGGTAGATGCTACAACTGGAAAAATTGCAAAAAATCTGGAGCGGTCTTAGATCATTTTTGACTCAGAATTCTACTTCCAGAGGTTCGATTTAGTAAGAAGGAAGAATTTCAGAAGGATGCCTGAAGTTTTCATTCGTTGGCAGACCTAGGTCTGTAGATCAAACAAGTTGTCAGACGACGAACTGTAATTCGTGTGACCTGAAATAAAGTGAAGGAAACAGTAAGCAGCTTGTAATATTCTGGTAAATCTAGTGTCAATTTGTCGAAAGTAAAACGCGTCGTTAAAAATATGATGACATTTTGTCTAGTTAATTTTATTCCTAGTTAGAAACAAACACTGTTGCCAAAATAAGTCGAGAAGTCCTCAACCGTCATTTAATTTAAACTGTGACGCTTCTGTATGTTCTCTGCATGTGCACTTATTACGTTGTCATATGTCTTTTTTATTATAAAATTAAAATTATTGATGTTGGGCACGTTAAAATACATCAATAAAAGCAGTTTTATTTTTATTTAAGTTATTTATAAAACCAAAAGTTCCATATGTTGTTTGATTTTTGATTCAGATTAGTTCCAGGTGTCACCCCTAGAGGGACCTCTTTTATTTAACGTGTACAATAATTTTTTTGTAGAATTTTTATTAAATAGGAGTAATATTTTATTAAGCTTTAACATCATCGGCTGTTATTTATATGTATTTTAGTACGATTTTTTGTTCAGTAATTATCACTAATTTGATAACAAAAATAGAAGTTACGTTACGTTACGACACTATAGTGTAGTAATTATTTTATTTAATAAATTTCTAAATTTTTTGACTACAATGCATAAATAAAGCTAAAAAACAGGTCGAAACTGGAGGGAGGCATTGCGTCAAGGTGACATTAAACGTACGTCCTTGGCGTCTGCGACGTTGCCAATTCGATTACCAGTCTCCATTGTTTTTCTTTACGTCAATCTGCTTAGAACTGTCATTGTAGTGGAACATATGTAAAACTCCTCAATTCTATTTATTAAGTTGTGTTAATGTTTACCGTCAAATACAGATGTGATACAGGTGCGTATGCAAATGATATCTCGTACTCATAAACTATTACTGCTCAAATATTTCGCAACTCGGGAAAAAAACATACCCATCCAAGTCAACTTTCGTCCTGTCATAATCATTTGAAAAAATCATTTTACGTTTTTTTGAATAGTTTCTTTGAGCCTTTATGTTTAAAATTAATCATTTTGGTGTTTCTTTGTTAAAATTACAAATCGGTTCGATTGACACTGTAAAGATCATGTCAATAAAATTGATACGCAAAAGCAGTGGTAAATTTCCATTATTATTTATATCCTTGTTAAAGTAACAAAATGGGATTTTTTAAAACGAACGTACGTATTTTAGATATGAACAGTGACAATTCTGCCTGTTTCGGAGATTGCCCAAAACCCAAAAAATCCAAGCCTTCGGAAGAAATTTGTACCATACCATATTGGGCTCATTTACCCTCAATCGTAATCCACGATATTTTTGACCTTTTGAATAAATCGGATCGGCAAAATGCGTCAAGTGTGTGTAAAAATTGGAGACAGAACGTCTTTCATCCAAAGTAAGTTATGAGTAACTTTCTCTCATCAAGACAATTTAGTTGCACAACTTTCGTGAAATTACTAATTTAATAATTCATTAGGTGGTGGCCTGAGGTCACTTTTAAAATCCAACCATACAATATCGATAGAGCCAAATTTTTTACCTCAGTTTTTGGTAAAATTGTCTCAGTTGCGAGAGTTCAAGTGAATACATTAGCACCGGAATGCACGGACGAATTTATTACACTGTTAGAAGCTTTAAGTGAAAATAATAACTTAAAAGAACTGATTATCGAACCCACTCATTGTCATTTTAACATCTCAAGATACCATAGCAAATCCAGGTATGCCGTTATCGAAATTTGTTGAAACCATAATAATATTAATATAAAATTTTCTCCCTCAGTTATAATATTCAAAATGTGATAAATATATTAAAAAGATGTCTACCTAACTTGTCCAAGTTCAGTATTGGTTGCATCGAGGATTTTGCTCACTACCTCGACGAGTACTTAATGATTTTAGCAAATCAGCAATCAGAAAAAGTGACTGTGTTGGGGCTAGCATCAGTTAAAGATAATCCAAATGAATACGAAGATTCATACTTTGAATGTGATTTGATCAAACCTTTTACGAATTTAAAGGTAACAAATCCGAGTTTTAAAAATAAAATTTTCTAAAAATCTCTTGTCCTCAGGTATTAAGCATAGACTTCGATCAATTATCGGATAATTTTCTAAGTTGTTTAGATGACGCAAAAAATTTAGAACGTTTAATAGTGCATTTACACGGAGTTCGGGATGGCCACCCAGGCACAACGAATGCTGCATGGGCTGACTTTAAAAATCAGCATCCAAAATGCGAATTAAGACTCACTGTGATTCATTCATATGACGAAATTAAAGTTTTACACGAAACCGTTCTCAAAGGGCAAATGCCGCTGACGCATTTGAAGGTATTTTTCTGTGAAAATGTAAGTATTGTGCTTGTTTGTAATAAGTATTTTTATTTAACGTGTTTTCTGTATTAGATAAATATGGGAGTTTTGGAATTTCTGCCTGCATATTATACAGAAACGTTGCGAAGTATTATGTGGGTTGACTCCCTAAGTAACGGCAAAGAGAGTTGGTCGTTTTTGACATCGCACTATGACAACAGTCCGGATCCGTTGATTATGATGTCGTGGCTGTGCAAGAAATTGGAAGAATTGGTGCTCTATGGTTACAAGTATTGCGAGGAGAATCTGGTTGCTATCGCTAGGCTTCGGGGCGACAAATTAAAGAAATTAGAAGTAGCAAAAGATGATATTTTATTGTCAAATAGTGACTACAATCTTTCATACGGGAACTTTATGATTGTGAGTATAAATAAAATAGTTTGTATGTTTTGCGAAATTTCGTCACTGTAATGAAATGCTTGAGTGACATTTTTATGTTTTCTTTATGTGTGATTTTTTAATTTGAGACACTTTGTTAAATAATTATTTTAGTCGCGAGGTAATTGTTAAACATATATGTGCAACTGGTGCAAACATGGAGTTGCTATTGTCATGATTTTGTTGTCTTACTCGCTCTAGAAATGTGTGTAACAATGATCCGTTAGGAAGTATTGATTTGTTACACAACAATGGTTTGTTGAAATGTGATATTGACACGGTCTTGCTTTGTGTGTATTTTCTTTCAGTAAGTTTTTTTTTGGTGACGACTGTCAAGCCATGAAAATAATATTTATCAAGTACTTTTTTTTGTTAAAATTTACGATATTTCATTTTACATTATTAAAATTTTAAATCGCTAATCTCAGATTTCGTAACCTATTTAAAAAATTGGTCGAAGGTTATTTCGACAGAACTTCCCTCACCCCTGAACTACAACCCAACAAATTGCGCTTCTTTGAAATATTATTAAAAAAAAATCGATTTTTGTTTTTTTTTATAACCTCCATAAAGCTAAAACCAGTGGCGTAAATAACACGCAGATTTTTTGGGCTTTTTCAATTCTTCAATCTTAATTTTTTTGTTTCTTCAATTTCTCGATTTGCAATTTTTTTAATTTTCAAGTTTACGTTTTTCAGTTTTTCTACATAACATTTCTGGAGTTTTAAATTTTTTATTTTCTTTATTTTTACATTTTTGGATTTACCAATGTTTCCATTTTATAATTATTTTTTCTATTTCAATTTTTTGTTTCAATTTTTTTATTGTCTTTGTTTTTTCAAATTTTCGATGTTTCAATGTTATTTTTCGACTTTACAACTTTGACGATTCCATAATTTTCGAATTTTCTAATTTTTGTATTCGATTCATTTTTTCATCTTTCCAATTTTTAGATTCATTATTTTTTCTCGATTTTTAACATGCACGAATTTTTGTTTTTCAATGTTTCAATTTTTCGTTTCTTCAGTTCTTTCATTTGCAATTTTGGGATTTGTAATTTTTCTATTTTTCAATTTTGTAGTTTTTCGATTTTTCAAAAATTTTCCAAAAAATGGTTAAAATTAGTTCAATCGACTGAAAATTCGTGTCAAATTGTTGATAATTTTTCGCCAGTTATAAATCCGAAATCACCTTCACGATATCTGTTGCAATAAAGATAAAATATGATTTAAAAATTTTCAAAAATTTTCTTTAAAAAATGGTTAAAATTGCTTCAATCGACTGGGAATTGGTGTCAAGTTGTAAATAATCTTCCGGCAGTTACAAATCTAAAATCGCCGTCACGATCTGTTCCAATAACCACGAAAAGTGAATTCAAAATTTCAAAAATTTTCCAAAAAAATGGTTAAAATTCCCGGTTCAATTGACCGAAAATTCGTGTCAAATCGCCAATAATCTTCCGCCAGGTACAAATCTGAAATCGCCGTCAGGATATCTGTTCCAATAAACACGAAAAATGAATTCAAAATTTTCGAAAATTTTCCAAAAAATTGTTCAAATCGGTTTAATCTACTGAAAATTGGTGTCAAATTGTAGATACTCTTCCGCCAATTACAAATCCGAAATCGTCTTCACAACATCTATTGAAATAAAAGTAAAATATGATTCTAAAATTTTCAAAATTTTTCAAAAAAATAGTTAAAATTGGCCCAATCCAGTGAAAATTGGAACCAAATTGTAGATAATAATCTTCCGGCAGTTACAAATCTGAAATCGCCGTCACGATGTCTGGTTCAACAAACACAAAAAGTATATAAAAATTTTCAGTTTTTCAATGTTTTGATTTTTATTTTTTTTTTTCAATGTAAAATCTTTCAATTTTTCAATTTGCAATTTTTCGTTTTTTCAATTTTAGATTCCTCAGTTTCTAGATTTTTCAATTTTTCATTTCTTTAATTTTTAATTTACAATTTTTCTAGTTTTCGCTTTAAATATGTATAGTGAACCAAGACCTATAAGGTTATATGGCCATCATAAAAGTAATTGACCGCAAATAAATACCCCCTTTGTGTAGTTCGCACTAAGCTTACCGGTTGGCAATAAATCACCTTCTAAACATTTCTTGCTCATATTTAACAGGGCCAGCTTTCAAAGCGAGTGGTTATTTCGGAACCCTCAGCGGCTGCAGGTAGTAAAGAAATAGCGGAGTGGTGGATTTTCATATTTAGTGAAAGCCGCCCCTGAACGAAACCACAATAGCCGGTCGAGCTGCAGTGGACACGTTATTTACGACCCTAAAACCTTTTCTATTGTAAACAACTTAACTTCGACACAATGGGATGATTTTATGATGGCCATATAACCTTATAACTCTTGGTTCACTATAATAATAACCATAATTTTTAAAAATGTTCAATTCTGCGATTTTTAAACTACTTTTAATTCATTTATTCAAGTTAATTCTTCAATTTTTCGATATTTCAATGTTATGTTTTTCGTTTTACAATTTTGACGATTCCATAATTTTCCAATTTTCCAATTTTTGGGTTTTCTAATTTTTAGATCCGATTCATTTTTTCTTCTTTCCCATTTTTTGATTTTTTTTTATTTTTAACTTTCTCGAATTTTAGTTTTTCAATGTTTCTATTTTTCGTTTCTTCAGTTCTTCCATTTGCAATTTTTCGATTTTGCTGTTTTCCTATCCTACAGTTTTTCGATTTTTCAAAAATGTTTCCAAAAAAAAATTATTAAAATTAGTTCAATGGACTGAAAATTAGTATCAAATTCTGGATAATTTTCCGCCAGTTACAAATCCGAACTTACTTTCACGATATCTATTGAAATAAAGGTAAAATATTATTTCATAATATTCAAAAATTTTCCAAAAAAAAAAAAGTTAATATTGGTTCAATCCACTGAATATTGGTGTCAAATTGTAGACAACGGCCCGCCAGTTACAAATCTGAAATCGCCGTTACGATATCTGGTTCAATAAATATGTACGAAAGGTGAATTCAAAATTTGAAATTTGAAAATTTGTGTCAAACTATATATAAAAATTTTCAGTTTTTCAATGTTTTGATTTTTAATTTTTCTTTTTTCAATGTGAAATCTTGCAATTTTTCGATATGCAATATTTCAGTTTTTCATTTCTTTAATTTTTAATTTACAATTTTTCTAGTTTTCGCTTTCAATATGTAATAATAATCATAATTTTTAAAATGTTGCAATTCTGCGATTTTAAAACTTATTCATTTATTCAAGTTAATTTTTCAATTTTTCGATGTTTCAATGTTATGTTTTTCGCTTTACAATTTTGACGATTCCATAATTTTCGAATTCTACAATTTTTGCATTTTCTAATTTTTAGGTTCGATTCATTTTTTCTTCTTTCCATTCTTTTTTTTCGATTTTTAACTTTCTCGAATTTTAGTTTTTCAATGTTTCAATTTTTCGTTTCTTCAGTTCTTCCATTTGCAATTTTTCGATTTTGCTATTTTTCTTTTCTTCTGTTTTTCAAAAATTTTTCCAAAAAAAAAAACGCTAAAATTGGTTCAATCGACTGAAAATTAGTGTCAAATTCTAGATAATTTTCCGCCCCTTACAAATCCGAAATCACCTTCACGACATAAAGGTAAAATATGATTTCAAAATTTTAAGAATTTTCCAAAAAAAAAGATTAAAATTGGTTCAATCGATCGGGAATTGGTGTCAAATTGTCGATAATCTTCCGCCAGTTACAAATCTGAAATCGCCGTCAGGATATCTGTTCCAATACACACGAAAAGTGAACAAAAAATTTTCAAAATTTTTCCAAAAAAATGGTTCAAATCGGTTCAATCCACTGAAAATTGGTGTCAAATTGTAGATACTCTTCCGCCAGTTACAAATCCGAAATCGTCTTCACGACATCTATTGAAATAAAAGTAAAATATGATTTCAAAATTTTTCAAAAAAATGGTTAAAATTGGCCGAATCTACTCAAAATTGATGCCAAATTGTAGATAAGCTTCCGCCAGTTACAAATCTGAAGTCGCCGTCAGGGTGTCTGTTCCAATACACACGAAAAGTGAACAAAAAATTTTCAAAATTTTTCCAAAAAACGGTTAAAATTTGTTCAATTGACCGAAAATTGGTGTCAAATTGTGGATAATTTTCCGCCAATTACAAATCCGAAATCGCCGTCACGATAATGTTCCAATAAACACGAAAAGTGAATTCAAAATTTCCGAAAAAAAAAAATTTTTTTAATGGCTAAAATAGCTTCAATTGACTGAAAAATGATGTCAAACTGTATATAATCCACCGCCAGTTACGAATCTGAAATCGCCGTCACGACATCTGTTCCAATAAACACGAAAAATGAATTCAAAATTTTTAAGTTTTCCAAAAAAATAGTTAAAATTGATTCAGTTGACCGAAAATTGGTGTCAAATTGTAGATAATCTTCCGCCAGTTACGAAACTGAAATCGGCGTTGCAATAACTGTTCTGATAAACACAATAAGTGAGTTCAAAATTTTCAAAAAATTTCCAAAAAAAGGAATCAAAATTGGTTCAACGACCGAAAATTGATGTGAAATTGTAGATACTCTTCTGCGAGTTACAAATCCGAAATTCCCTTTATGGCATATGTTGAAATAAAGGTAATATATGGTTCCAAAATTTCCAAAAAAAAAAGTTAACATTGGTTCAATCGACTGAATATTGGTGTCAAATTGTAGATAACCTTCCGCCAGTTACAAATCTGAAATCGCCGTCACGATATCTGGTTCAATAAATACGAAAAGTGAATTCAAAATTTGAAATTTGAAAATTGGTGCCAAACTGTATATAAAAATTTTCAGTTTTTCAATGTTTTAATTTTTCTTTTTTCAGTGTGAAATCGTTCAATTTTTCGGTTTTTCAACTTTTAGATTTTTGAATTTTTCGTTTTTTCAATTTTCTCAGTTTCTAGATTTTTCAGTTTTTCATTTCTTTAATTTTTAATTTACAATTTTTCTAGTTTTCGCCCTAAATATGTAATAATCATAATTTTTAAAAATTTTCAATTCTGTGATTTTAAAACTTATTCGTTTATTTAAGTTAATTTTTCAATTTTTCGATGTTTCTATGTTTTTCGCTTTACAATTTTGACGATTCCATCAGTTTTTGGCTTTTGTAATTTTTAGATACGATTCAATTTTTCCTCTTTCCGATTTTTTGATTATTTTTTTTTTTCTATTTTTAAATTTCTCGAATTTTAGTTTTTCAATGTTTCGTTTCTTCAGTTCTTCCATTTGCAATTTTTCGATTTGTAATTTTTTGATTTTTCAGTTTTTTAGTTTTTCTATTTTTCAAAAATTCGACAGAAAATTGGTGTTAAATTGTAGGTAATTTTCCGCCAGTTACAAATCCGAAATCACCTTCACGACATCTGTTGCAATAAAAGTAAAATATGATTTCAAAATTTTCAAAAATTTTCCAAAGAAAAAATATTGAAATTGGTTCAATCGACCAAGAATTGAAAAATTCAGTATGAAATCTTTCAATTTTTCGATTTTTCAACTTTTATTTAGATTCTTTAATTCTTCGTTTTTTCAATTTTAGTTTTCAGTTTCTAGATTTTTCAATTTTTCATTTCTTTAATTTATCATTTTTCTAGTTTTCGCTTTTTTAAATATGTAATAATAATCATAATTTTTAAAATTTCTCAATTGTGCGATTTTAAAATTTTTTCATTTTTCAGTTATTGGATTTTAAAACTTATTCTTTTATTCAAGCTAAATTTTCAATTTTTCGATGTTTCAATGTTATATTTTTCAACTTTACAACTTTGACGATTCCATAATTTTCGAATTTTACAATTTTTGAGTTTTCTAATTTTTCCATTCGATTAATTTTTCTTCTTTCCAATTTTTTGATTCATTTTTTTTTTTTCGATTTTTAAGATCCTGGAATTTTAGTTTTTCAATGTTTCAATTTTTCGTTTCTTCAGTTTTTCGATTTTTCAATTTTTTCCGATCTTTTAGTTTGTCGATTTTTCAATTATTCGATTTGTAATTTTTCGAATTTTCAATTTTTTGGTCTTTCCGTTTTTCAAAAATTTTCAAAAAAAAAAAATGGTTAAAATTGGTTTAATCAACCAAAAATGTGATTTGATCATTTTTTCTACTAATTCCTCTGGTTCATACAACGTACCGATTCTTTTCAGTATTTCGCGTCCTTTCTCTGTTTCCTGTTATCTTTTATGAGCCATTCGTTATTCGACTTACGTTTATTATTTATTTCCTTAATTTTCAAATTTATGTAAATTTTATTTCTTCTTTTTATCTTCTTCCATCTGGTGAATTTTTCATGTCACTCTTTTATTTCCTTATTTACTATTTCATTTTCTCTCTTAATTTCTTTTATGTAATCGAAGTATTTGCGTTTTCCTCTCTTGACATATCGGGTGTTCAATTAAAAACCATTAAGTTGGCTTTGATTTTTTGTAAACGTTGTGACGTATGTCTACGATTAACCTAAAATGACAACTCGGAAATGTCAATTGTATAGAGCGGTACGAATTAATAAACACATACGTTTTTCTCTACGTTTTCTTCTGTCAAAAAAACAACGCCAACTTGATAACTTTTTTAATTAAACACTCGTTATCTTCCATTTTTCCCAAAATCACGCCCTGCGTAATATTGTTTTTATTTTTACGCTTTTTACGTACTTTTGCACTTTCTATGGGTTTTAGAAATCGTTTGTGGCTTCGAAATGGTGATAACACTCGTTTTACGAGTTTGTTTATCGCCGCTGTCTTCGCTAACTTATAATAGTAATTAAAAATTACTAAAAAATTATTATTTTACAATTATTGCAAGATAAAATAATAATAAAGAATATTAAAATATTATCCAATGAAAACAACAAATAGTTTTATTTGTACATGAAAATAAACAAAACACGAAAAATGTCCTGATGGAAGATCACGATAATCAAATTTTTTTATTGGAAACTCATAGTGAGAAACATCTGCAACATATTCTTTTTTTCTAGTTTTGTCGTCAGAATGTAATTTACTAATAAATGGTATCTTTGCACCTCTGTTGTTTCGTTGATATTTTTTTCTTTTTTTTTTACCAAAGTATATATTAAAATTCGGTCACGTATGGTTACAATTGGACGAGAAAGAAAAACAGATAATTATAATCTTTCTGAAGAATAAACAAATAAATGTATGTATATGCAAAAAGTATATAAGATTTCTTTCCAGGATATTCCACTACATTTGAAGCAACCGTGGGCACCAACAAAGACTGCGAATCTCCATCCCGTCATACGTAATCCGACGGCAGGAGATTCAGACGAGTACTTGTTGCCGATAGTTCTAGCTGACCTGCACTAGTTAAGTACAACAATTAAAAAGAACAAAAACACAAAAATAATATTAATGAATAAAACATCTACGTACGACTCAACAAAGAAAATCTGTTTAGTATTATTTCGAATATTATAGTTCAACAACTGCAAAGATTTTGTACATAGAAAAAGGACCATTGTAACCAGGAGTTACACTATATTTAAAACGATTACTACTTAAAAAAAAAAATCAAAAGAATGTTGAAGTTTGCGTTCCTTTTTGAGTGTTTCTTTTTTGTTATCAGTGACTTAAGTTGTTGTGCTATAAAGAGAAACGTTTTATGTGAATGTATTGTATGTTTAAGTCTACTTAATTGGAAGAGCAGCAATTGCTCGTTGTTTGTGTTATTCGTCAGCGTAAAAGCACTGATTTGTTTTCTGTTTTACTCTTTGATAATAATTTTACGTGGAGCTGGAGGATTATTGTCACGTTCCAACACCTTTTGAATTAATCTCGACATAAGAATGACAACTGTTTTTTCATTAGTTTCTCTAATATTTTTCGTTGTATAAAGTAGCGATAAGAAGAAAAACATCTGTGATATAAGTAACTCTTACAAATTCGATGAAACAACGATTGTTAACATAAAAGCAGATACATAATTTCAAAGGAGATCCAAGTCTTTTGAAACAACTTTCTGCCAATGTACCTGCCAAGTGTTTTCAAAAAAACAAAAACAAGAAAACGTAACTTGTTGCTGTCGTTACCAACCAATCGACAAATTACTCAGTTAACGGCAACGCAGAGACAAGAACTGATCTATCTATATCTAAAGAAGTTAACAATCGAATAAGAGTGTGAATGTCATTGCAGTGTTCCAACAATGCGATAATGCATTTTATTTTTTTAATATGTTGTGCTTGTGATAAGTTTCATTTTTAACAAGAAGTATTATTATGTTGGTCTGTAACTTATTTGTTGCTGATTACGTAAGAGCAACAAACACCAACGTGTTTATTTTTTAATGAGATTTGTATGTTTAAAAGACACGTCACATCGAGATCGCTGTTATCGGAAAGGTGCTGTTCCTATATTTACATCATACGACCAATTTAAAGAAAACAAGAATCCGTGGGTTTAGACCATCTAAATTGCCATTCCAATACCTTATTCCGTAGGATAATTAGCTGTGAAATGATAATCTATAGCGTGTTTTCTGTTCGAATTTTCTGGAAGATACATCAGTTTGACTGTGATAGCAAAATTCTCCTTCTTTAACGGTATCACACAAATGCATTTGCTCTGATCCTTGAGAACAGAAAACGGACGCTGATGTGTGTATATAAGAAGCTGTTAAGATCAAGTACCTGAATATCAAGTGATTATAGCGAAAATTAGCCTGCTATTGTAACTCTTAACCCTAGTCCAAAGCGTTGAATATTGAATAAAAATCTTTATTATGTAATATAGAATGTGTGAATGGATGATTAGAGCTTCCCCGGCGCACTCCCGAACACCCGTGGGATTGCGAAACGGTCGATGAGGAGTTGAATTTTTACGTTGTTAACAGGAGCTTCCAGAGGTGTTTGAGGAAGTGCGCTCGCCGGGAATAGATTGTTTGAAGTTAAGTTGCCATCTTATCATGAAACTATCTGTGATGTACAGGCGGACACATTGTTAACAGCGTACATATGTTAAACAGCGCTCAAATGTTACAATGTAGGTCTCACCAGCCTTAGCATAAATTCCACTCATGCTAACGCTAAATAATATTTAAAGAATACATGTGTTGTCTGTAAAGTATATATCGAACGACGCAATGAAAATCGATATTTTATCAAAACAAACGAAAACGTGTAGACAATAAAATGGCTAGCGAGGCAACACTGCACGATCGAGCTGTCCCTCGTATGATCAAGGTCAGGGACGTCAAAAATAGTCATTTCCGTGATTTTATCGTTTCTACCGCTTACGTTAACATTATGACTACAATTTTTTTATAGAATGTTCTTTCCGTATTTTTGTAACCTATATACAAGTTTTGTTCAGTTATGTTCAGGCACTGCGATGTTTATGAAGCAGTTGTCAAAGTCTTAATTGTAATAAGTCTAATAAGTCTAGCACTGTTTGTTTATTCTTCTTTTAATTATTGCACTGTCTTTAACATTCAACGCGATCGACTGACTTTGTCGTCTATTCGTTGACGACAAACTCGGTTTCGCATCGTTTTGAATATAATTATTGTTATCGAGAAGAAATCCTTTTTAGAATAGTGTTAGTGTAGCATGAGAATTATAAAATGTAGATTGATTTTATGATGCAAAAAGAAATTTATAAATGTACTCTTTCAGTGTTATAAAATGTTTCAAATTTAATCTTTAATCAGTATGTTATATCAAAGAAATAATTATATTCCGTTTTGAATGTAACATGTAACTTGAATTGGTTAATAAACATTTGGTATCTTATTATTGGAATATACTTTCCCCAATTGAAATAGCCTTGAGACGAAAACGTACGTGGAAACGAAGGAGTTTTATTAACTTAATTGTGTTCATGTGTGATCGACCCGAACACCATTTCTCTTGGTCTGATTTCACACGAAGAATGTAAATTTTTGATTTAAATAAAGGAACACAAATTTCGAGGAATGTTATTGAACACAGTATCAACTTCCTGTAAGTTGTAGGGGCCTGTCAGTTCAATATGAACACCAAGTGCTTCTGTGTTGGTACTGTCAACCTACTGAGTCAATAGAATTACCGCTAAGGCAGAAAATAACCCTTCTGCTGCACGTCTAAATGATCAACCGTACATCTCAGAAGATAGAAGTTTTCACTTGGAATCGAAATCTGAATGAGAAGAAGTCAAATACAATAGCACAAACTGTCAAAATGTCGCTCAAATAAAGTTTGAACTATCGTTGAATGAAGAAAGTACAGAACGTCTATGGTGTAGAAACAGTGTATGGGTGAACGCGCACCAGACAGCTCATTGGGTAACCTTTAACACGGTGAGTTCGACTTAAATTATATTCAGCCATGTACTTTACTACTTCTCATGTTTAAAATTTAATAGAGATCAAAATCTACTGCACTTTTCATTATCCATCTGTAGTTCGCTTGGATCGTCGCTTCCAGTCAATGTTGTATTTCCAAGTTTTAAAAAGCCATTTTCTAAGTGGTTTTCCAATTCGATTCAACTGTCAAAGGAAAACTTGAACATGAAAGTAATGAGAATAGTCTAAATTGAAATCGCCGCCCCTTTATCCATCTTTATTCTTTGATATTTACTAAAAAACACAAAACCTACATGATGTTAAAAAAGAAGTAGCTTACGAAGCTACTGGAACTTTTCTAAAGTCACTTATTTGTAAAAACTATTTAAAAAAATCTGTTTTGACATTTTAAATTGACAAACTTAAATTATGAAAAACGAGTATAGAGCATAATATGTGACGATACTACACAAAAAATGGTTTATAAGATTCCTCAAGGTGTTAAGAAACTCAGATTGCATGTTGCAATTTAGTGTACCAAAAAAGTAAAAGGATAACTATGATTAAGAATTTCATCAGTTTGAACAATGATGCAAGCAGCCATGAGTAATTAAGGTCAACGGAAAAATAATATTGTCATATTTCTGTATGCGTTGACTTAAATTAGAGTTTTTATTTTTACTAAGGGATGTGTAAAATGTGTTTTTTAGGTTTATTTCAGTAAAAAAAATTGAAAAACGTTAAGAACAAAATATGTTCTATCTAAAATGTACAAAATGTGATGAGTCTGTACTTGTGAATTATCATTACATTCATATTTTTTAGATTTGCTTAAACAGGTGGTTCAAAAAAAAATTAATGAATGAGTCAATTTATTTTACTGATTAAATCAGGAATAGCTCACTCCATTTTGCCGAAAATTTGGAGATACAACACTGTTATTATTATTAGTGATAGACACAAAATTTTGTAAAGGTAAAACTCGTTTGTAACATAGGCGTAGCACGCGTATTTACATTTACTTTAACATTACAGATGTGCATTTGTTTTGTTGCGCTGACTGGGTTCCGTGAATGTGGTATAGACAAGTTATAATCAACCAATTGTGAATTACACCATCAAAAATTACAATAAAAGCCAATATTTTATATAATAAGCGGAAGTCGAAGCAATAAAAAAGTCTGGACGACCATCGGCATTGTTTGCAATTTCTCTGTTTCATTCTCACGTATACAGTGTGACAACAATAATATTCTCAAAATCAAATCTTTTTATTTCTCAAAACAACTGGTTTTAAGAAGGTGAAACCTTATTTTTTTATGTTCCACTGTGTCTAGTACCTTCTATATTGTTTTTACTCCATAGTGATTACCACGAAAAAATAAAATTCCGCAAAAATTCAAATTTTATAATTTTTCAAAGAAGCAGTATTTGTTGGACTGTACTTCCGAAGCGAGGGAAGTTCTGTCAAAATAACTTTCGACCAATTTTTTTTGTCTTGTTCAAGTTAATTTTGAATCGGCAAAACCTAGTGCTTTAAAATCTTGCAGATGTTTTGAAGCTATTGTAATTTTTAATCAAAATGTATCTGTTTATTTCCCTCAAAAAAACTGATGACGTCATCTCAAAATGTTGCAGAATAAATCTTATCCAAAATGTGCAAAAACCATGTAAATTATCATTGCACTAAAAGTTTTTGAATTGCTTATACAGGGTGACTGATAAAAATTAATTAATGAGTCAATTTATTCTTTTGGTTAAATCAGGAAAGACTCACTCCACTTTTCCGAAAATTTGGGAATACAGTATTGCACTGTATCTATCCAAAGTGATATTCGTGTCCTTGCAAAAATGTTGATAACAGTCATCACAAAATTTTGTTAAGGGAAACTCCTACAACAATACATAACATTTTAGCTTACAAGGATTCTCATAAAAAAATAAAATTCGCATAATCAAATTTTATCATTTTTCGAAAAAGCTGGATTTGTTTTATTATTATGTACTTCGGGGGCGAGGGAAGTTCTGTCGAAATAACTTTCGACTAATGTTGCAAGATGTTTTCATCAGAAATGAAAAGCACATGGTAGCATATGTACTTATCAAAAAGTACAAATAAAGAATAGCATATTGTATATACCGGGTGTCTGGAAAATCGCGAATTAATTCTCCGCTACGTTCTTAACAATCATCTGGCGAGTCTGAGAATAGTAAAAAAATCCTTCTTACATTTTGGCGGAGTTATAATGATTTTGGCACCCCGTTTTTTAAAACAAATTTGCCAAAATCAGTCTTATTTTAGCAGGTACTAGCCCCGCTCACCCGCCCTCACTTTTCTTATAGGGTAACTCATTTGCCAAAATCACTCTCATCTTAACAGGTACTAGCCCCGCGCACCCACCCTCTATTTTCTTAGAGGGATCTCATTTGCTAAAATCAGTTTTATCTTAGCAAGTACTGATGACTAAGTTTTACAAAAAATCATCAAAATTTGGAAATATTACGAGCTTACTTATCTACAAGGCAGGAATTTTGAACATCTTCTCTAGTGTTTAGTTGGTTATGCTTTATTGGACGTTTCTTTTTTGGTTTAAGTATTTATTAATGAAAAATAACAGCTTGTTTTATTAATAACTACTGGTTGTTACGGTTATTGTCCTAAAAAAAATTAGTCGAAAGTTATTTCGACAGAACTTCCCTCGCCCTATGATGACGTCATCAACATTTTCGCAGAGACATATATATCACTTTGGATAGGTGCAGTGTAATACTAATGACAACAGTATTGTACTCCCAAATTTTGGGGAAAACGGACTGAGCCGTTCCTGATTTAATCAATAAAATAAATTGACTCTTGCATTATTTTTTCTGAGTCACCCTGTATAAGAAATTTAAAAACTTTTAACGCGACGATAATCATAAGTATAGATTTATCATATTTTGCACATTTTGGATAGGGAGGGGTTAAATGAATAAATTTTGCTTAACGATTTACCATGATTACGATAATCTTAAAATATTTATAAAATTTCAGAGTAGTCGGTTTTGCAGTTTTAAAGTTATATGTATGTATTACAAAATATTGTTATAGTTTTGAATTTTTTCCAAAAATTTTGGATGTCTGGGGTGAAAATTTGACACGGCTTCACACACCACAAGTGCAGGAGTATCTTATTCTATAAAATTTCAAAAAACTTTTTATTTCAAATTTTAGAAATGACGTCATCCCATCGATGGTGGGGATAATTAGCCAAATTTTAATTAGCATTTAACCATCTACATGGTATTCCTAATATACATACAAAATTTGACAATAATCGGTCCAGTAGTTTCGGAGATTACTTGTTTAATAAAAATGGATACAGACACCAGGCAGACAGACAGACGGAAACGGGAGACTACTTTTTTCATAATCTAGAGGTATATATAAAATCAGAAAGTAAACCGAAGATAATCACGGATTAGATGCGTGCTGTGTTGCCAATTTTACTTTTATAATATATAAAATTAAGGATTTTTTCATTGTTTTTTTGGAAGTGCCGAAACCCCCGTACATAACGTACCTACTGAAGAGTTAATCCGTCATTTTACAGACACCCAGTATAATGAGCACGGGTTGTTGTAATACACTAAAATGACCATACGTATTGCACAGAATAGTCCTATTTTCGATGGTATAATTGTCCCAGTCTGACTTTGTTTTTATAGCACTGCAATCTCAATTACCGCAAGCATTAGGAACTCTATTGAAAATGTAAATAGCCGTGCCCTAAATCATCTTAGTGGTCTATGGGCGCGGGCTGTGCAGGGCCGGCTCTGTTTTCATTCAATGAAGGTAAGGGTGGTGGACAAAAACCTCGTAAGGTAAAAGTCCCTATAGATGATAACTTACGCAGATCCCTTAAAATGAAATCCCGTAAAAAATTCATTTCTACTCTTCTTTACCGAATTTGATATGTGGGTCTCTTATGAAATGATTCATTTTTGTAAAAGTTGTTTTTTTTTTTAGTAAATATATGATCATTTGAATGAGAAATATTAAATGAAAGTTAAAATAATGAATGGTAGTAGTAGATGATATACCGAAAATTGTTCTGCACCACTAAATGATCGGTCTTGTCGTAGTAGATGATAATTCGAATTTCAGTCTATTAAATACCAAAACTTTTAACAATATTGCAATTAAAACATATCAACTTGATTAAACAAAAACATATTAAAAAATATAAACAATAAATTAAAGAAAAAGTTAAAAATAATTATCAAACTCGTGTATTTCTTCCACATTAAACACTCCTCGATTATTTAGCTTGGATGATGTTTCAATTTTTTTAATAATATCTTCTTTGGCCTCCGTGTTCACACCACTTTTATAGATAACATTGACTCTGATCTTTTGATCAACTATGTTTAAAATTTGTCCCAGGTAGTACATCTCTTCATATTTGATAATAACCAGTACGCGGGA